TTCATTCATTTAGTTCATTATGAGATTTTAGGAAACCTGTTATTTTTCCATGTTTCTGGGAAGGTATGCAAATAATTGTTTTCTACTAGTTTTAAAGCATTTAAATTGTTTTCAAACATGAGTAAGTGAAGTACTAACTAAGGTCACCTTTCATTATTTTTGAATTGTAGGTTTTTGTGAAATGATGAGTGCTTATTTCCCTGACTTTGAGTCAATCAACCATGCTACTGTATATCAATGGATGTTTGAATTAGCATCTAAACTGCAGCAGTCTGATTCAGAAGAGGAGAGAAATATCAATGTTGATATTTCGTTACCTGAGATTTTACCAAAAAATAAATCCAGGTATGTCTACAATTAAACATTATAACAGATATCAGCTCTGCATTAACTGACAAGACAATCACTTTGTTTCTATGTTCATATTTCCACACATAAACTCCAGGTATCCTAGCTGCCAAATCACAAAATCTTTTCTGTCAACTTTAATAGAAACTAAATAGGCTATACTCAGCTTTTCAATTAAAATAAAAATGTGTCAGTGTTGCTTGAATACTCTTAATGCTGATCTTTGAATAAGGACCCTCAGTATTACTGAAGAAGAAGTTCCAAAAAGGGCTCATAAGCTGTCAGAAGTTAGCGATGGTGGATCCACAGATAGTTCATGCTGTGATTTTACTGATGAAATGGATGTTTTACAAGAGATGTTTCCTACAGTTTGTGCCATTGAGGTAAGCTGTCTTAGATGAAATTTTTATTTCTTAAACTACACATCCAAAAAGCTTATTGTCGATAAATGATTTTGGCGCATGAATGGCAGGATACCTTAGCAACAACTGAATGGTCATTTTCAATGTACAGTGCTCAATAAAATCAAAATAAAGATCAGAAGCCGACTAGCAGATCTAAAATAACATAGATTCGGGTAGTTCACCTTTGAACCGCACGAAGGATTGGCAAAATTACAAAGCAAGTCCCATCTGAGCATTGTACAGAAGCAGGTAGTAAAAAGTGCTTCCTAGCTCTAAATAGATAACGGAGCTTCTTGCCAAAGCGTTTTCTCAGGCAAATGCTAAATCTTCAGTATGATCCGTATGAATATTGACGTCCACCTATATTCTATTCTACTGACGGATCACAAATCTTGTACGTAGAGCGTCCGATTTCAGGCAAGCCATTACTAATGTCTCCTTTCTTTATACTTGAATCGCCACAAAGGCCTAAGGCCTAAACATACCCATGGGTACCATGAGGCTATAGGGGGATACAGGGGAAATGGGGGACGGCACACGGACAAGAAAATTTTCTCTTGGGACGGGATTCGAACCCGCGCAGTAGGATTAGTAAATCCATAATGTCTACCACTACTACGCCACCACTGCTGCTATCAAAGCTTCGTCATTCCTAGAACTGGACACGCGTTTAGGTGCTTTTTATTAGTTATGGTAAAGCACTGCATCATAAAAGCGTCAAGCTGTACCAAATTACTGCGACACCCGGCTGGGGGGTGTCACCGGACACATTTTCAGTTTTGTTCATTATTATTTTTCGACTGCATTTTACGTTTTTTCCTGAAATGCTCATTTTTATAGTTATTTTGGGACGTAGCTCAATACAGTGAGCCCCTCAGGTCTTCAAAGTCCAATCCAATCAATATTTGGTGTAACAAAGCAGCTGAAAGCACCACTCTGCTCTTTAATTTTCAGCACCACCCCTCTCATTCTTCAATCATTTTTTGCTAACATTGTAGCAATTGAATATTTTGTTTGCTAGTATGAATAACATGACTAGAGAAAAGCTTTCAAACTATCATTTTTTTCTTCCAAAATAGTCAATAATCTCATTTTTACGAGAGCTCCACACCCTATGGACACCTTAAGCTGGTATCAGTCTTCTACTCAGCTCAGTCAAATGTCAAAAAGAAAATTCAATCCTTTCGATTTCATTCTGCCAAGTCAGTTAAAATGTATTTACCATTTCAGGTTAAACACTGCCTTACCATAGCAGCCGGCGATATTGAGCGTGCCACTCAAATTCTGATCGATCGTCAGGAAAACGGTCAATGCCTCAGCCCGAATAGCTCGTTGACTATTCAGGTCACCAAGAAAACAATTGATGATTCTGAACTGAAGAACCGCATTATCGAGCGATATTCGTACATCGACAAGGATGCCTTCAACAAGGAACATCGGCCTGTCGCACCTAAGGTGGAGCCAAAGAAGCTCGTTCGGTACAGGTAAGGTCCTTGTTTTTTACTTTCATGGGATTACTAAGACAAGGCGGATCGATAAGCTAATAAAAAACATGTTTTAAAATATCATGCCATTTCCAATGCTACAGCTCCACAGTAACCCAAATTGTTCAAAACACAAAATTGGTATTTACATCAAACATCTGCCACATATCTCGGATCGGCGTTTGATCACGCTTGGAATAAGTAGTGGTAAAAGGGTTTTTTTATTGATTTTCATCCAAAATGTGATAGTAATTGTCGTTATTTTAAGTAATTTGCATTATAAAAACGATATACAAAATTAGTCGTGTTGACAGTTATGTCAACTGTTGTAGTGAAATGGAAAGTATAATTATACCTTATAGTGCACACATCATAATTTATAGTGGGTAGCCTAATATTTGCTTACGGATTTAGATTTGGCGCTATTTTCCAACGACTTTGCTTAGACATTTTATATTGTGCATATGTCATTTATAAGTACGGGTCGTTTCACGATGGAGGAACGCATTAGAATTGTGCAAATGTACTTAGGAAGTTCACTCTCATTTTTCCTTGAAAGGATGTTCAATCTGGGACCAATGAGATTACTTCCAAAAATACTTGTGATAACCGAAAAATGTTGCTGTAATATGTAATTGCACCGAAGTGTTAAGAGGTCAAGAACACCTCAAGTCCACGAACTTTTTGATAAAAGCTTGTCCAATTGCAACATTAAATATATAAAGTATTCTATATGAAGTATCCCTCCCATGGACGGGACTATACTCTGGTATCAAATGGAAGAGCAGCATAACACATCGTACACTACTACCAGCGCGGTGTACCTTTGTATCGGTAAAGCAGATCCTGCTGTATTCAGAAACGCCTCGTTAATAGTGTCGTACAATGTTTTGCTACTCTCTTCCGTTTCAGCACCAGATGGTGATGCCGCGCTGTCCAGTGGCGTGCGATGTGTTGATTTTGTTTAACAAAATGCTGAGGTACCTATAGGGACATCTACATGGTTGATCTGATTCTAAGCTATGATACGGTACAATGGGCAAACACCTTAATCCAGGATTAGAGATTGATGTTTCACAAACATTCAAAAAACCTCAAGAATTGATCCATAACTTTGCGTTTTGGTCAAGTCAACACCTAAACTACAAAATTATTTCAACTATGGTAAAATAATCACCTACTGACATTGCCTCTACAGATTGACCTAGCTTGGCCAAATAAAAAAAATCAAAGTTGATTTACCATATATTATTCACTAGGGATAACAAGATCGTGAGCCTTAAGGGAGAGCGTTTCACCGAGGTGAAGAAAGGCGAGGACGTGGACGACATTTCCTTAAAGAAAAACAAAAAAGGGCATACTCCGTAACCCAAATGGCCTACGACGAAGGCAAGCCACCGTTCGTTTGAGTTCACATACGTTTCCGATCGCCACAGCATAGTATTTTTCTGTTGCTCTTATTTATTTTCCTCGAATCTTCTTCCGCTCGCAAAAGTATGGCTGTTGTTTTTAGAGTTTCTCTCGGTTGCGTGCAGCGGGTTTCCGTTTGAGTATTATTTTTTATCAAGCGTAACATGTTTCATCCTCATTAGGGGATTATGTGTATTAGGTAGTTACTCATCGGAACATGTAGCCATATTAGAGATATATGCAATTCGCACTGGTTTCAACTAGCTATAAGGAGCAAGTGTTAGGTTGGATAAGCGACATTCAATGACTTTTTGTGACTTTCGGGGAGATACTGCATCAGTTAATGTCTCTGTACATGGGCCAAGAAATAGGAAGGTTTCGTATAAGGAAATCTTACAATTTCGGCGTCATGATTTTTTTGTATTAAATGGAATTGGAATTAAATTCTCCGCCATATTGCTCTCATACAAATTTATGAGGTAGACTGTTTATGCCTATACGTGAGACAGAGGATAATAATGTATATTTGAATTTTAAGTGGGAACAGATATTTTGGAAAATCGCGAACTACTGAAAACTCATGACTTGTTTAAGCTATGATGGTAAAGTTTAAGTGTAATGCTTAAAGAATCTCAATGTATTTAGAATCTCTAAGGTTTTTCCAAGATGCAACAATTTGTACTACTGATTATTTCATACAACAACCTGAAAATCCACCTAAATACTAAAGTTGGCTTCAACTCAACTTTAACTCCAAAGCCTTGTTTCTGCCCTCTATATTCACATAACATGTAAATGCTGGTCTTTTACTGAGATGGCATTGTAGGAGCATATTCTCGATGCCGTATTTAATTTCAGTTTTAGTGAAGTTAAAACACATTTCTGATGAACAAAGGCAGCACAAAGTACCGTCTATTACCTGAGTCGACCACTGCGAAAGTGACAACAGCAAGACATCTGTTGGAATTGTATGCCAGTTCGCAGTCAGCCGGGTCATCATTCTGGCCAGCAGATTTATGCCTCCGCAGTTCTTCATACAGCTTCTTTAATTTCGGAATACAATTTTTCTCTTCTTGGGTTGGCATCCTAGTCTTTTCACAAAACAATACGGTTTTACGTATTGTTAACCTTGCGCCTTCTTGTTCGTTCAGTCCAACTGCACACATGTTGAAGAAAAAAGCGCTCAAAACTGCTTTTTTTGAGGGTAGCTTCTAGCGGATAATTTTCGAAGCTGTGCTTCTTATTAGCAATATCTTGCTGTGTTTCCTTAAAGTCATTTATGAAGCCATGCTCGGAAAGTTTGCAACTGCCAAATAACACGAGAAACAGCAATAGCATTACTATAATGTGATAAATGGTCAGCGTTTGTTCTATGCAGTACGTCAAATTGAGCAAGATTCGACCTGTCCAAGACATGCCCGCAGTGAGAGACGCGACATACAGTGCCGAAGCGGCTTATGTTATACCAATCGACCCGAATTTTGCACACCTCCGCTTTACATAGTATTGAAACTTTATTTTTGGGGTAGCATCAAGAAAATCAGATAAAACATTTTTTGTCATAAATAAGGGCCAACGTCCATGGTTGGCCGTCTGTGGTCGGACGAACGAAAGCTATGTTACTAGTTTGTTCATTGGCGAGTAGACCATATCTACTATAGGACAAGAATCGGCGGCATCTAGCTTTCAGAGTGGTGACCTGGCTGACAATGCGAACTGGCATGAAGTTCCAACAGACAACTTGCTGTTTTCACTTCCGCAGTGATTGATTTGATTCACTCTGTACTGTCTCGTTCCGATAGATTTTATACTCTAAATAGAGTACAGTTTTTGGGCTTTCGTTCGGTGTCCACCGAGATGAAGCCTACATCATGCTGAAGAGTTGCCAGATAGCACGAAACAGCTGTCCATGGGTGGGGCCGTCTGTGGTCGGACGAACGAAAGCTAAATTACTAGATTTGTGATGGTCTATAATCTACAATGAGCTCAATGTTTGTGAAAATCTGGGACCAATGACAACATTACTCTCAAAAATACTTGTGATAACTGACAAACATTGCTTTTCACTCTTCATTTCACGATCTGTAATTACAACAGGGACATAGACAAGATTCAAGATCGTCTCAGGCCCACGAACTATTCGATAAAAATCTTAAGCTATGTTCCTGAATTGAGATATTACATTGTAATACAAGTTCTTGATATAGTGGTCGTCTATATAATTAATGAATATTTTAAATGTTATCATGTGAGAAGCGATACATATAGTGCATTTCTTCATTATACATATTATTATGAAACCATACCTTAGGGACACTATGAGGATGTTATCAGATTGAAAACACCACTTCCATGAAACTGTCAACCTACTGTAACTTGACCTTGGATAAATTAGCGATGCGTATAAAAATTAAATAGATGCTCACCTGCCAATTAGGAAAGGTATAAATTGTACCGAGGTTGTTAGAGTTTACCACACCTATCTTTTATAGCGATTTTTAGTGCCCTAAAACCCGATTAGATAGATCACAACCTGCAAGTTTTATAACTTCCTTTATCGTGAAGTTATTAAAATCACTCGCAAAGTGTGATTTATAACGCCATGAATTTATTTAAACTTCAAGGGGTTTCCTAGCTAATTAGCTTTTAGGCCTCTACGCGGGAGATATCTAGATTAGTTTAGTATCAACAGAGAATCTCTATATCTCTATATTGGCTGCTCATTATAGGCACTCAACAGAAATGCACTATAACTTGGTAGTTGGATATTACTTCATATATTTTTTTATTGACCTTTTTGTTCGTAATTATTTTCAAGATTTTATTTTTACTAGGTATTATTGAAAAAAACGTGAACAATTCATGAATCGTGTGACTTAAAGGCTAAGACAGCTACGAGTTACTGTGTTCATAATAGCACGTTAAAATATATACGTCGTCATTCACCACATTTTGTGTACTGTTTTAGTGACATGCACTTCTCAATGGGGTTTTTTTGGTTTGAAAAACAAGATGGAATAAAAATGTGATTACCCTTCCTTTAATTGTGATACCATTGAAGTTGCACGCACTCCTCACCTAACATCTTGCTCCAACTTTATTGTACACCTATAGTATTACTATGTTAATAAGCTAGTCAAAATATTATATTTAATGCGTGTTTTGTGGAATGTTCTAGTATATTCAGAGTTCTTAAGTAAGCTGCCGAGTGTGGTTCAATAGTTATTTTTGAAATCATAATTTTTATGTTTGTTTTCGCGGTTTAGTTATAGTTTCAAGATTTCGCTATTTTTTGTAAGTTGCGTTTGCAGACTATTTTATGAGTATTATATTTTAATGTGACATTCTGGGAAGTAATGAAAGATGACAGCATTATAGTGCGTCAATCAAATACCAAGCGCCTGTTTACCTTTGGTAAAAATACGTAGAGGAAAGTGCCGAATCTCGCACACTTTTTTTTTTTTGGTAACCTGTATCTTGGAAGGAAAGTAATTTTAAGCTGCGATTATAAGGGGAAAATGTAGCCTAATTATCAATAAAACACATCATGAATCAAAAATATATTTAGAAAATAAAATCTCTTATTACATAAAAAAGGCAATAATGATACTTTTTCCACTTTAATACGGTTACGTAATATCGCAAATGCGATATTGGGTAACTTTTCGGTGGACGGTATTAGGATCCTTATGCGGATAAATATAAATCACAAACAAAATTCTTGTTTTTGTACGAATTTGAGCATTCCTCATGGCTCCATTTAAGACACTGGTAACATCTTATCCATTTTTCGCCTCTGATATCCTCTGAGTAGTCTCAAACAAAACATACATTCTGCGTAATTATCTTCATTGTCGGAAGTGCAATCCATGTCAGAATCATCATCCAATTCCACATTTACATATATCCGACTCACTCGACTCACTGTGACCTTTCTTTGAACTTGTGTTGTTCGGAGAGACAGGTTTCTGCCAAAGATTCCGTTTTTTATCGGTTTCTTTGTCTTACCGCTCTTAACTCTTGCAATATTTATTTCATTTTTCTTTCTTAAATTCTCTTTATTGGACGAACCAGTAATTTGTTCTGGATGAGGAGTCTTATCATTCTCTGTTGAAGGTGGAGGTATTGCTTCACGTTGTCTGTGAATGGCAAAGTCGTAATAATATAAAATAAACCGGTTGAAAGGAAAAATGCCGCTTTTCATGAACCCATTAATGGATTCTTCCGCAGTGGCGGCTTTTAAGTACGCGTTACCCAATAATTCGCCTATCTGATAAACAGAAAATGTTCTGCAAAGTCAGGTTTCAATCTCTTGAGAATAATACGTTTTAAATGGACTCATAAATGCCAGATCCGGTGGTTGCATTTTATTTTTATTTTATATTTTTATTTAAATTAAATTGGGGTATCGGGCAAGACATTTTTTCCAGCTACATCTTTTTCACGTGAAAATGGATTAGGTAAATTATTTCTCAAGGCAAGTTGTTGGAACGCCATTCTTCGTACGTCAAAAAAGTCAAACCAAAGAAACGTTTGTCCATTTCTAAACAGTATGTTCCCAATTGGGTTTCCATTTCTTCTGGTAGTGTCGTCTTTCTGCCCATGCCCATACTAATTTAATCCTTGGAGTTTTAATTATATTTTTTTATTTAATCCTTGTACTTTTGGGGACATTAAATAGTTTGGATGCTTTCAGATAGCCCATTTCATTATTTTTAACACCATTGATTCCTTATCCCATTTTTCCGTTTGTTTTGAGAATTCATTTTATCTGGAACAAAAACAACTAGTTATTTTTTGTTCTTTGAAGGTCCCTAATATCGTACACTGCTATATTAGGACCCATCTTGTTGTGCGATATTAGGCCATACGATACTTTTACGTTAGAGTAATAAAAAACAATATTTGAAATAAGTTATATTCTGAATGATGTAAAATGAAGAACAGAGCTTATAAATAACATGTACAGAGAAATTAAAATTTTTCACTTATCGCTTTTACAAAAAAATCTACACTGTTAAAAATTCGTGATCTACCAAATGCACGGTTTTCAGCACTACTGCCATTTACTTGTTATCAGAGCTACTGGGCTTAACGTGTCGGTGTCACGAAACTAAAACTACAGAATACTACGGTCTAATCGAATTAGTAAAAGAAAAAGCGCACTGTGCGTGCGATATTCGGCCACTTTCCCCCTATCTTTTAAATAGCAGTACTTTGCATTAATTTATGCTAAAGATATGACCTTGTCCAACTTTATGATATCGTATAAACAGAACTTACTTCTTACTTCTTGTGGAATTTCATAAGCGATAGAACTGTTTTGCAGTTACAAAGCGGTCAGAAGTACATATTCACATTGATTTTTAAGAGTAGTATTATGACATTTTAAATTTATGTATTTGTAGATCTATATTGTATTTGGTTTTAAAAAAACTGTCGTGTTGGAGTGCTGGTGTTTTAAGTATACACTTTCATTGTAAAATGTATGTTATAATAGCAGCTCAAGAGGAAACATCAAGTGTAGTTCTCAAAAGTCTTGTTAAAAGATGCAAGTATTGTTGTGAATATGATAGAGCATTTCATCTTATTGTTAGAATAAGAATACCTGTGATTTTTCTAAATATTACTCAATAGCACACAATTGTCTGTGTGCTAGAGTGAATATTGTATTTTTCCTGAGGAATAATTATTATTTCAACAAATCCGACTTAAAAATAAAAAAATGTGTTTCATTTATTATGTTGGTTATATTCGAGATTAACTTGATTCTGATAAGTTGACTATACTGTTATCTTTTCTTGCCAGTTTAGTTTAATAAACTGAAAAATTGAACGTTGTGTTTTATTTGACATTTTAGCTACAGATGTGGAATGGGTGGATATAACTTTGATAATTTAGTTTACTGTGTTAAAATGGTAGAAGAGAGTGTCAAAAACATGAATGTGTCCATGGGAATAACGTGACAAACTTGTTTTATGGTAAGTATACATGACTAAGGATATGTACTTGATTGCAAATCTAAAAATCATCTGCTTCATTAGTAATGTCAAAAATAGCATACTATTGATTTCGTATACTACCCATTTTCAAATGTAAAATTGATTTAAATGTGCACAAAAAATTAAAATTCATGCTTAAATTGATTTTTATTTTGTGTAAACATAACTTTTTTATGCTACGGACACTAACTTTCGGATGCCTTGATTCCTAAATTTTTTAAAGAAAAATATATCTCGTAAATTTATCCCGAAAACGTTGATTTACCAGCAGTACCTCAATGTTTTATCTGCAATGAGGTCATATTGTACTATATAATCCGCAAAGTTGGGGTTTTCCTTTTCAGAAACAACTACCCTTCAAATAAAGGTAATGTGTAGTGAAACGAGGGCGACCAAGTAAAAAAAAAATAAAGGAAAAAGTACTCGCTCTCCAGTTGACGAGAAGGGCTAAGTACTTCTCTGCCCGAAATCATACCGCTCCAACAGAAAATCAAATCAGCTGATGCGCTACCGAGCAGACGCAGAAACCACATTGATTGTCTTACACTTAATGGCACATCTTCTAACAAGGAAGGCAAAATGTTGCGTGAAAAGTCTAGGTATTGCATCCCGTCCAATCGATTTGGGAGAATAAATGGTCCAATGAGCATACCGTTCACCATGCCAGCCCAAACATTCACCGAAAATGTTTGTTGAAAATGTGCCCGACGGACAGCGTGCGGATTTTCTACTGACCAAACATGAGTGTTGCGAAAGTTATTCACCCCATTACGAGTGAACGTAGATTCGTCTGTCACCAATATGCACTTCAAAAAGTCCGGATTATTGTCATGTTGATGCAACAACCACTCACAAAACCGCACTCTTGTTGGAAAATCGTCAGGTTGAAGGGCTTGTACACGTTGGATGTGAAACGGATACAGCCCCTCTTCACGCAGCGTTTGCCACACTTTAGTTTTTGATACTTGCACTTCTCTAGCCACGTCTCTAGTGCTTGTTGAGGAATTCTCGTCTACGCGATTACCTCTACACGCGTGACCGTAACCGTCGGTTGAAGGTTGCATACTGACTCGACACACTGACCCCGACCCAGTTGTCGTCGGGTTGAACCAGTGACCTTGTACCAGTCGGTGATGTCGCGGCTACAGGACGGTATTCAGATATTTTTGATGATGCAGAGCCCTTTATCTCGGTTCCCTTAAGACATTGGTGTATATGGTACTAAGAAAAATTGCTTATGTTTTCAAGATCTACACGTCGTGTAAAGGAAAACCCCAACTTTGCGGACACCCTGTATATAGATGCAGCACGGCAAAGCGGCAGCCGCCTAAGCGTTGCAACAACTATTGGTTATTCGGCCATAAAACCACGAACAAGTGCGGGATTCGACAGGGTAGAACTCAGGCTCGGGGTATCGCCAGCCGTTACTGTTCATATTCGGGGCATACATAGCGTGTGTTTATACGTTAGCATGTCGTCTACAGATACAGCAAATGAAACCGAGTATATTTCTCCCAATGCTTCCTTCAGCCATACTTCCTCTTCAGTGATGTCTCCTCCCCGAAAACGTGACAAGAAGGGACACTTGAATATTCAGGCAAAAGAAATTGTCCTTAACGTTTATAAGAGCGAAATTTTAGAGCATTCTGAAATGAAAATTCATGATATTGAAAGACGTGTGGCGAACAAAACAGGCTTATGTCCTAAGACAATTTTCAACATTGTTAACGAATATAAAAAAACAGAAAATCGTCTCCACCACGCAAGAGGCTGCATTTCACGAAGCTGTTGGATACAGTAGTTGATAACTTTGATCGGAATGCCATCAGTTCATGAATTTTTTGGAGGACATGAATTTCCCACCATAGACAAAGTGTTACAGGAGGTTAATAGTGTTGAAGACTAACCTACTTTCAAAATACCACATTCTATATTTTAGTAAAAGAACTTCATTTTGAGTACAGAAAACGGGGCAGAAATAGTATTTTGATGGACAGCCAAGAGATTATTTCATTTAAAATCAATAAAGACCAGGTCAGGAAGATTTATTACTAGGATGAAACATGAATAATGCAGGATACACAAACCTAAAGTATGGACTGACTCTTCATTAAATCAGCAAGACAAGCCTTCTTAGATGGACAAACCACGTCACGTTAAAGAGACAATCGAAACAAAGATATGGGATCTGGAAAATATGATCGATATTCAAATTGCACCTGTAATAATTAATATTAACCATTTGGACGATGATTCAAGTACTTCCAGCGAATCAAAAATTGTGAAAAGTATGTGCACTTCTTTCTATAAAAATAATCCTTCATTTTGTTAGATTATTCCAAGACCATTGTACAATCTCGCATTTGGGCATGTTGTGTTTTGTCTGGACGTAAATCGACTACGAATGGGGTATACCCCATAACGCACTGCCCTCATCTAGTAACTTTCACGACTCCATTAATTAAAAAAAATATTAAGAAAATATCTTCGAACAAGTTTCAAAACTAAATAAAATCCCCAATCCCGTTATACATCATAGTTCTGCATGCCATAGAAATCCTTCAACGTATACTGTTTTTAAAATATTGAATTTCTCGACACTAATTTAGCTGTAATTTTTTAATTCATCAGAATATTTTGTAAATTTTTGCAGCAGTCCAGTGTTAAAGCTTATCAAGTTAGTACAATAGTTAACTTTTCCAAAGACTGTCATACATAAACTCAGATTTAGTATTCATTCGTTTACGCAACCGATAGTATGATCTTTGTTCCTCCCACTGATGCCAGACCAATGCTGAAAATTGTAATGAAACAATAGATGCAAAAATCAAACTATATATATTGAAAACCAAAAAAGCAGAAAAATGATTACAGAATGGTTGAACAAAATACGTATGAATTTCCCTAACTGAAAATTTAAGCGTATTTTGATGAACACCAGTCATCCAAATAAAATTTTGCTATAAGACAATAGCTGCAAAAACATAATAATGACAATCACGTGATAAAACAATTGTTATATCCTACAAGAAACTAACTTCATATGCAGTATATTATTTACATGGAATATACATTGATGAAATTAGTTTTTCGATACATTTCTTAGGCCGAACGACTACTCAGTAAAATTATAAAAAAATATAAATAATCACTTATTTTTTACCTTACATCCAACGAAAAATATGCATATTTTTCTTATACTGTCTTCCTAAACATTTATGACAAAACATGTGGTAAAACAAAATGTATAAGTGGCGATTTTAGAGAACTGCGTTTTCTAGTCTAATATAAGAAAAATAGCTCACAAAAATATACATCAATAAGCCAAGGAATTCTTAATCCTTGTATAAGCATATTTACACTTGTCAGAAATAATAAATAATATTTATGTATCCATCAACAACAACAAACTCAACCTTCACGACAGCTAGAGAAAAAAATGGCGTCAAGTAGGTCGACTCTGTACTTCCCACGCAATTCTGGAAAAAATTGACTTTTTATATGGATTATCTTCGAGTCAACATTTCTAAGCTCTGGCATCTTTATTGTTTGTGGGCTAATCCTTGTACCCAGGCATAAGGCCACAGAGTAGAATAAATATTACTGTTGATTTGTCAATAAATTGAAATTACAGGTTTGAATATGATGGCCTTCGTACGTTGTTGGTTTACTATTGGTCAGCTATGGAAACTCTTAGAGCTGGTCAGGTAATATAATGAAGATGTTTGGAAAAATGTGTTTAGTTCATCTTTTTTTTTAATAACCGAGGATTTTCATGAGCCCCGGTATCATTTGCTTGAGGAAAAGGTACTAAAATTTCTTCATTCAACAAAATTCTTATTTTCGCAAAAGACTACAGCCCGAATGTTGTCAACTTATTTGATATTATGTATTTTCAACATATTATATTGCCCTGGTAGTCGCAATTGTTACATCAATGGGGCATCACTGACCTCTTCTTAGCTGTTCATGTAAACATTCCTCATGTGGGCGTTCGCCAAACAGCGAGAAGCGACTAGTGCGCTTTATATGCAAAATATTTCATTAATATACTGCCACCAAAGTATTGCGATACACCCCTCCCTCCAATTTTACCCTTGAAAAGTTTCTTAAAAATGATCAGGATCCTTTTAACGCAAAAAAAGTAACGAGTGATTTTTATATTTTCGTTGTTGGCTTTGCTCTCCGCCGCCACAACCTATTTTCAAAAACTACAAAGTTTTTTTCGTTCTTGACATGATAGTGACCATGTGTAAAAATTTCAGTGAAATCTGACCATTACTTTCTAAGTACTAGTCGGGCCAAGGATTAGCGGCGAACAGATGGATATTATATATCAAAAAATCATTTCTAAATTTTTCGCGATCACAATAGTTCTTCGCCAGTAAGCGTGAGAAAGTAAAACTAATATAATTTTGAAAAAGCTGAACAGTTCCTTACGAATATAACTTAGTGAATTATGTACATGCAGTTCAGATCATGTAACATTATGTGAGAAGATAAATTAGTGTTTATTGATGCAGATGATACACAATAATATACAAAAATCGCACTTTGAGTTGAAACACAGAACATGTTAATGTAACAGCTGAAACTTATCTGTGGTTTTCATGCTGATAATGCTCCATGTTTGCCTGGCCGCTAAATGAAACCACATGTTTAAAACACTGTTTACTGATAACAACGTTTCAGTCACAATGGTGGCCTCTTTCAAGCACACTTTGAAAACTGACAAACGTGGAGGATTACGAAACATGTTGTGGATCGTCAACAGTCGATGTAAAATTGTACAAGAAAAATCTCTTCAAATAGCTGCAATTCTAAAATATTTGAGCATAAAAGCATCACTGATATATCGTTGGTCGCAAAAAAATCGAATTAACGAGCAGATGTAATATTCAACTCACTATAAAAATGTATAAAAGTGGAAAAATAATACGACATTCACTTATCTAAATTTTATATGTGTACAATTTTCCTATAATTGTTAAATGCACCACAATACTCCTGAAAAATGAGATTCATAGATACATTGCCATTCAAGTGATTTTTGGTCATTCTGGAGTATGTACACAATGTTGCCACGTGAACGGATTTTAAATAGAAAAGATCTGGAAGCGAAAAAGTATACAATCTGATAATAGCCCTGTGCTGCCGACAAGCAAGTAATTTTTGATGCTGTATCCCATCGTATCGAGCTCTAAAGCGTCATTTAGATTAAGATGAGGGCCTATAAGGGAGTTTTTCGGAGGTGAGGTTTACTCAAATTTTAAGCTGATGTTATCTAAGGACTATTTCATTCAAATATTCCAGAAAATATTTTGCCTACTATTTTTATTTAAGTGTATGGTCACACCACTTTCTACTTCAAATCTATAATAAAACAACCCTTTCGCATTTTTCTCACAGTAAAAAAAGAAACAATTATAATGAGAAGTTAACATATTGTTGTGAGAGTTGTGTAACACTTTTAATGTTTATAATATGTTTCTATCTCAGTGTGTTTTATTTTGTATGACATGCAAACATAAGTAAGTGTACTGGTTGAAAATAGGTTCATTTTGAACAAGAATGCCAAAATACCGAAAGTGGAACTTTTAAAGTGCTCAAGTACAGGTATAAAAAGACAGATGATTAACAGTTAAAATGCAAACGGTCTGAAATATTTAGAAGCAAAAATTTCACTGAGGCGATCTACCTAAAATATGAGTCATTTTCACCGATGAAAAACCCCTTATGGGTCCAGATCCTTTCAATTATGTAAAAACAACTTAATAAGATTCAGCTGATTTGCTATATATGTAGGTTTTAGCTGTCATAGGAAACAAAAACCACAAGACGAAATGAATAATGCATCAGAAGACGAGAAGTAATAGGGATAACGAGTATCCCGCGTTTCTGCCAAGAAACTCCTTACTCATACATGAGGATAATTTAGATTAATCTTTCCGAATCTGAAATAGTCCCGTCACGACATCCGGCTGTTTTGTTTATTTTGTAGTCTCCCCCAAAAGCCAGATCAACAAACCATAAGATTTAATTTCAGTGTTTGTAATGGCCATGACACTGCAGCGAGTCTATCAGTCAACTATTCAACAATTGAACAGCTTGGGGTCTCGCATTGCCTATCTTTAATACAAATGTGCCATCAAGAAGATTACCTTTTGAACATTTTACAAATTTGCTTTTTTGCCGACTGAAAAGTATATCAAAAATAAGTGTTCCAAAAATGTAATGTCAAAATTTTAACTAAATGTTGCAGCTGGTGAATTCCCACATGTCTAGCTCTTGCAAGTCCTTTTATATTCTTGAAAAATCAAAACATCTGAAAATACTGTGCAAACATTAACCTCCAGAGGATTACTCACAAAAATTGTCTAAACTGCGCAACTGAGGAGTGTTAACTTCTTGGAAATGTAAATCGATTTTGAGAATAAGGGGACCTTTCAAAAACGCAAAAATAATCATAATATCACTGAAAGTAGATGAACCCGGCCGAGTATCCGGTATTCGGAATTTGAAAAGTATTTGTCGGGGCATCTATAGACTGTACATATTTTGAATACAATGGGTGCAACGGATGACTATTATTAGATCTATGAATATACATTATTTATTAACAATTCATGGATGCAACATTGTGCAAAATCTGCCCTCAAGATCAGTCGTCATTCACATTAAACTAAGGTAAACCAATCACAGAAGTTGTAACGTCATATACTAATAGGCTGATCAGGTTTTGTTTTCTTAAATGTTGATACTAAGGCTACAGTTTGAACCGTTCATGAAAACAACATGTATTTGAATATCATAATGAGGATCAGATTCTTTGTAATTGATTGAGCTGCTCTAATACTGCTGTCAAATTCAATCAGCTCCTTGTAGTTAATATTGGGCACGGACGTTTCTGTAAGAACAAAATAGTTCATTACATTATAGTAGTTATGTGACGATAAGGAAGGCAGTGATATAAATTCCATAATACTGATACAACTGGCAATCCATACTGATAGCGTTCATTACCGAAAGAAAAATAAAGCTGTCGTCGCATACTTGTCATTGACAGACCTCTTCTCGACATTTCATGTGAGTGTTGTTTTATTGTTTTGGAAGGAAAATTTGATGGACAGTTGTCGGTCTGCATGCATTTGCATCATCTCAAGAGCTTGATGAAATAATTCTTGTTAATTATGGGCTGTCAATTTATTCATGCCATCTAAGACACAAAACGCGATCGGAAGTTTATAGCCGTACTTAAGAACGTTTTATATGAGCAACAGTTTCAGGCATACAAAGTCGCGGGTTACAGCTAGCGCAAAGTACGACGGTGCATCAAATATGAACCGGACTTTTCTGTTTAACGCGCCTTATGTGAATTTAGTGGGGCGACGTCTTGGTATATGTTGGGTGGGGATGTCAGTTGGTATATAAATAAACTTGTAGTTACTATACCAATAAAATTACTAAAACAAAAGTCTGGTTCATATTTGATTCACCATCGTAAAACGTCTGTATCGCTTGACAGTCACCGGTTGAGGGCAATGACAGGCCGCGCTGTTGCCTGTTTGACGTTGTCGTGCAGATTTTGGTACTTGCCGTGATTACCAAATCGACGATGATTTCGCGGATGAAACCATGCTTTTAATGTTTCTCTGATATAAATTATATGTGTAAAGATTTATTTCGCTTCGCCGTATTTTGGTTCAGACAAGATGCTGGCAGGCTGGACAGAAAATTACGTTTATATATATATATATAGATGGTGGGTAGTGAAGATCAATTAATGATTGCATGGGCCATAAAACATGAAATTTAAAGTTTCTGATAACAATGCCAATGAAGACTTACCTAAACATGTATATGATGAACATAATAAGTAACGCTGCACTACTGGATGTTACTATAGCTGCTGCACTATACTTAGCTGTACCACAGGCAGGAGGACATACAGGGATGACAGTTTCTAATACAAAAACAAAAAATAATGCAGGCAATGCAGAATGAAAGTGTCTATGATGAATGATTACAAAATGCATAGCACAAATACAGGGAGCGGCCGCATAACTTCCTTTTAGAATCAGCGCCATTCAGTCGGTTGATGTCGTATCGGTACGCTAGTGGTCTAGATCAAGAGGCGGGGCTAAAGTATAGAGC